TATGTATGCACAGCTGAAACGTACACAGTACTGTACCATACCATATGTCCACTGGTAACCTTGACATTGTCATTTCTGAAGAAGAAGTGTAATTCTGGTAGTTAATGAGTTTTACCAGTAGTATAAATAGTAACAAATTGTTAGTTCATTAACACCATCCCTCTTGTAAAGTTTAAAACCAATTTGATGCGCGTTAGGTTACGTGATCTTGTCTGAGTAAATTTGAAACAGAAGCCATGGGGTGGGGGAAGACTGAGGTTTTAGTGGGATGGGTCACTCAAAATACCTGATTAATTAGTGCGTCCCTCTCGTTTTAGTCATTGTCTTCACATCTGTACCTTGTCTATAGTGTAATTTCACATATATTTATCCTAACTTCTGTGTCTTATTTATGATGATAAAAGTGAACGTTGAGTGTGATTAATATCAGTGTATTTGCATTCAATTCAGCACAGTGTTTCTTTTTTTTTTTCATTTGTGTGCCACACCTCCATTGCCAAATTGAATACAGATTCTAAAATTCTTGATAAGGTCATGTATGAAAAAAAACCTTGAGAAAACTCTTCTTTCACCTTTATGCATATTATGGTATACGGGTATTGGGATAATAGTATTTTAACCCCCTCCCCCCCTCTCCTGCCTCCACCGAATTGATTGATGATGAAAGAGGTCAGGGGAGAATAGACACCAGATATATTTGATGTGTAAACATCAACATTCCAGAACCGAACAAAAAGTCGAATAGGTCAAATCAATTCAGATAAATTGATTGGTTGTTAGCTCTTGGTGTGATGGCAAGACCGTTGCTTTGCGGAAATTTGTCTTTGCGGTTTATATAAATGACTTCTCTATTTTCTAAAATATTCACTCCTTGTAAATATATGTCACTCAACACTTATATGTGCATGTCACTCAATATATTTCTACTTTGAACTGGCAATGTTGTTGTTGAACAATGCTGGTTGTGGTGGGAGTTTGTTTTCTCCTTATCACACAAACCTGTATTGTTCTCGCTCTCGCTCTCTCTCTCTGATAAACTAGCGTATAGTTTAATTGACTGTTTTGTGAAGAAATAAGATTCTTGATTGAACAGGGTGACGGGGTGATGAAATGAGTTAATTTTTTTCTCAAGTGGTTGTGCTTTGCATTGTTCCATGTTGTCGCTGATTCCAGGCATATCTCTAGTTCTTTCTTCTAATCTAACAAAAGTGTTTTTTGGTGTAGTAGATTTCATCTCTGCGTGTCATGTATATTTCCATATTTTGATGAAATATGAAAATATGAATTTAGATTAAAATATTTAAATTTAATACATGTCAGTTTCCAATTGTATTGATTGCAGTTGATTCAAAAACTGTACATAACTGTTTTCTTTTATGCTGTAATCAGTTGAAATTGCACAAGTTTTCTTTGGTTGTCTTGGTTACACATGTCTTTAGAATCACATTGCTGTAGGCATGACAAATATAATGTAAAATATGGTGGGTCTTCAAAACAACATTTATTCATTTTTGTACATGGTTATATTGTAGACTCGCTTTGATTTTCCATCCGATATCGATGACGTTTCTGAAGATGCTATGGATCTCATACGGAAGTTAATATGCAGTGCTGAGCAGAGACTAGGACAGAACGGTCTAGACGATTTCAAAAATCACCCCTGGTTTGAAGGAATTAACTGGGAACATATTCGAGATAGTAAGTCGGCTCAGTCTTTATGGTTACCCCTCCGCTATTCTCACACTGGACCCCACTCCCCAGTAATGGAATAATCCAATGGCATCCATATCTTTTGCCGAAATCAAGATTTCCATCTTGTGGTTCAATCTTCTCTTACGGTTATTTATAGCGCAAATCTTGAGATTTGGGTTTACATTACGTGCTTTGAGAAAAACAAATTAATTCATTGATTGATGAGTATAGAAAAATTAAATTACATGTGGTACCACGTGAATTGGATGACGTCTTGACCTCTGACTTATTTGCATCTTTAATTTGCTATTGAATGTAACTGTATGTCGACAAAATTTGTAGTCGTGATATTGACTTACTATTGATCATGAGCCCTCCTCCAAAATTTTTATGTGCGGAGCTTGCTTTTTTAGCTCCACTGTCAGCGAAAGGTGTCATATAGGTGATTGTCCATCCGTTCGTCAACAATTCAGTTTTCAACTTCTTCTTGAAAACTTACAGCACAATTGCTTTGACTTGGTATTTAGGTACTACAGGTGGACCTACGTCAGATTTGTTCATTTTGTGATGATATCTTCATTTCTCAATTTGTAGAGAATATTTTTGTCATTTTTGGTAAAAAATGCTATTTATGACTTCTTCTTGAAAACTACCAGCTCAATTGCTTTGATACTTGGTATATAAGTAACGTGGGTAGATTTCTGTGCAATTTGACCTTGGGAAAATAGTACAGAACAATGTCAACTTTATTTTGAGAAAAAAACTCTACAAAGACATTTGAAACTATTTGGATCGTGAGGTTGCTTGTTTATGGTATATCGTATTTCTTATTTTCGTCAGAATTTAAATAAATTGAATTTGTTCTTGATGCAAAAAAATCAAAAATACCGAAAATTAACATAATAGCATAAAGTGGTTTCAGTAATAATTTTAGTTTTATGAAGTATAACATCGTATTACATGGAACATACAAGTGTACCGTATTTGTCAGTATCCGAGGCATAATTCTCACAACTAATTTGTATTTATTTCACAGTGGTGCCGCCTTATCTTCCCGAAGTTAGTAGTCCCACAGATACTTCCAATTTTGACGTAGACGATAATGATTTTCGAGCGTCAGATTCGGTGCCTCCGACAACACATGGTGCATTTAGCGGCAATCACCTGCCGTTTGTTGGATTTACATTTACAAGGGATAGGTTTGTATTTACTTTTTTGTTTGTTTTTGTTCTTGTATTTATTCTTATTCTGACTATTAATTCAACTTCTTCTGTGTAGTATGTATCAAACTAGGGAGGAGATGGGACTTCGGGATGTATAGATAATGTTTCTAGCTGGAAGATGAAGTGCTTTTGTCCTGATACTACACTACGTAGATTTCTTTCAGCGTTTACAAATTTCGTATTAGGGTTTCAGAAGGTACTTCTGTGTAGTATCTCACTTGGATGTCT